GGTGGGGGGCAACAGCGGGGGTGGGGGGCAGATTTTAGGGGTAAAAACACGGTTGAAAAAGAGAGTTCAGCGTTAATAAAAGGCCTCAAGTCTCTTAAGTCACTGCTGAGTAATGTTTCCGAGGTAACAGAGAGGTCAGCGTGGTGCAAACTGTGTTAGAAACCCGCCAGCCTGGTTGTATCATCCACTTACTTCTGTGTGTGGAGGAAAAAGGTCCATTTAAAACTGTGGAGTTGTGGTTTTACTTCACTTTAAGCTGCTGTTAGTGTGTCAGCTGACATGGGTGTGGATCAATCAGCCCATCAATAAGTTCTTCTATTAGTTGGTTAATCAGTAAGATGTGAAAATTACGTGTTTTGGCCAACACACAATCCAAAACACTCAAGTTATAATGATACAGAACAGGAAAAAGCAGCAAATCTTCACATTAAATTAAAAGATCGATGCCACTTTTTGTGCCTGTGTGTTAAATATGAAGCTACAACCAGCAGCTGGTTCATTTCTATAGTTAACAGACATAACTCGCCTACCAGCACCTCCAAAGTTCACTAATTAACACTTTAAATTGTGTTTAATCGTTCAAAATATGTGTCAGGTGACCGGGGTGTGAATCAATCAGTCCATCAATGAGTTTTTCTACTAATTGGTTAATCATTTATCCATGAAAATTACTTGTTTTGTCAAACAAACAATCCAAAAAAACCCAAATATATTAAAGTTATAATGATATAGAACAGAAAAAAGCAGCAAATCGTCACATTTAAAAAGCTGCCACTTGAGATTTTGCCTAAAATTACTCCAAATTATTTGCTGATTAAATTCCTGTCAGTACTAATTAATTAACTGACTAAAAATTGAACCACTAGTGCGTCTTCTTCCCCTCAGTTTTAGTTGTTTTTCACAGTATCTATCTAGTAATGACTCGCTGCTTTTGCTATTTCCGAACAGATGGATTTCCTGTTCGGGAGAAGGAAGTCTCCGGAGGAGCTGCTGAAGCAGAATCAGAGGGCGCTCAACCGAGCCATGAGAGAACTGGACCGAGAGCGAATGAAACTGGAGCAACAGGAGAAGAAGATCATCGCTGACATAAAGAAAATGGCCAAGCAGGGACAAATGGTGAGCTGAAGGAAAACTTGTGTTTCTACGAGCTCTGAGAGAATAATGTGCGAAGAGAGAATCCTAACTAACGTGTGCTTGTTTTAATGCTCGCAGGACGCCGTCAAAATCATGGCCAAGGATTTGGTTCGCACGCGGCGCTACGTGAAGAAGTTTATCATGATGAAAGCCAACATTCAGGCCGTCAGTCTAAAGATACAGACGCTCAAGTCCAACAACAGCATGGCACAGGCGATGAAAGGCGTCACCAAAGCCATGGCCACCATGAACAGACAGGTCGGTGGGAAGAAACACCTG